TATAAAAGGCAGGGTGTGTGTGTGTTTGTGCGTGTCTGTAACGAATGCACGGTCGCAATTTTCGACGGATTTGCACCAAAATTTACATGCACATGCTACAAGTTAGCGGTAAGGCCAAGATCAACTTTGCATTTCCCAACTCCCATCGATAGTGGAAATAATCGATTTTTTCATGCTTCTACGGCAGTTTTCATGTAGTTTGCGGCCATTTTCTACTGGCCAGAGTGAGAGCCAATAGCTGGCTGCCACGAATAGGCAGGAAGATTCTATTGGCCAGCGTGAGAGCCAACAGCTGACTGACACGAATTTTAACTAGCATGCTGGCATGCAAAAAAAAAAAAAAATCGATAACTGCATTCGTCACAAGTGGGAAAAATTTAAATCTGCATAGCACTTTACTCCAATTGGCTCATTCGCTTGCTTAAACTCAACATTGCTTCTGATTCCGCAGAAGTGGGTTGGGTGTGAAAAAGTATTTGTTGTTAACATTCTTTTTTCATTCGGTTTTTCCAGTTACGAGTCCTTTTTTAAAGCTGATCATTTTGTGTTCATTTTGTTTAGTTCTTTTTTCGTAACAGATTTAATGTTTAGTATAGAACTTAGAAAAAATTTGAAGTGTTAAATAGGCAAGAAGTAAGGCATGTAGCAATATCAGCACGGCAAAGGGCACTCCTTTAAAGGCACGGAAGGGCAAAAATATTTTAAGTCAAGTGATAGCGATTGCAGAATGAGTCGTACGATTTTTGAATCAAGCACGGGCAACGCCGGGCCATGCTGCTAGTAAAGTAATAAAAGTGACGGATTAAAAATTAATTCATTAATTCTTTGGAAATTGTTTTGTTTACGATTCGGATCCGAAAGTGACCAGATATGAAGGTTTCGAGAAAATAATCTGATTGAAAGTGGGGATGTTTTTTTCCTTAAAAGGGAAAAGAGAATCTGGCTTGGTGTGGCGCGCTTTGTGGAAAGAAGCACGCCAGGTCATATGGTGGTTTCTCTTAAAAGAAATAAAGTGGTAACAGTTTCGATCCACGCCAGGGAAATCATTTATCTTTTTTGATTTCTCGAATGCGCAAGCCTTTATATACACTGATTAATAACTAAGAATGGGGCGTCTATTTCAAATACAAAGTATCCACGAGAATAACATTTGAGGTAATAAATATATAGGTAGATATAAAATGTGTACCTGTATCTACTGGTTGAGAACTTCTTGGGGTGAAACATTCTTTGTTGCAAACACACACACACACACACACACACACACACACATAAATTTAATTAAAGACGATTAACGAGATACTGCGATTATGCTTTTTATTCATTTTTTGTTTGTATAAAAGAATAGCCGAAAGCGCTGGAATATATTGAACATTCGAACAGTTTTTACACTCTTTATGTCAAGAAAAGAAAAGACTTATACGGATACAAGACAAATTTAACAGAAAGCTTAATCATTGTACCTTGTCAGTCGCCCTTAATTAAACCTATATAAAAGAGCGATTGGTGCACAAATATACAATTCTCTCTCTATATATATATAAAATTGTATATATGTATGTGTATACATATGTATGTATGCGTGTGTTAACATATATATATATATATGTGTGTGTGTGTACAAATATATGTGTGTATACATAGTAATTTTACAACCGTAGGTTAGATGTGGCACAAGGTCGAAAGTATGGAGCACCTAATGAGGATCGAACTCACTTTTCAGTCGTAACTGATCTTAGCGAGACAAGCTTGCTAACTATTACCATGCCATATATATATATATATATATATATATATATATATATATATATATATATATATATATATATATATATATATATATATATATATATATATATATATATATAAATTATTTTTTTAAAAAATTTATAACATAAGTATGTTATAAAATCACTACAAAATAGCCATTTTGTTTCAACACACTCTGTGTCTTATCAAGTGATGGTGTTGAAAATAAAATAAATGGTTTTAAAAGTTTCAGATTAATTAACGATCCTACACTAGGGGGAGCATTGTTACAAAAGCTAGAATAACCAATCAAAAACGAAGTACAGAAAGATTCAAAAGCTTGACAACAAAATCCTGCTATTCTTATATATATATATATATATATAAAGAAAGAACAGTAAGATATAAAATCCGGTGTTCTTATAGATATTTTTATTTTTACAAAATAGTGCTCAATGTAAATTTACAGAGCAATAATATTATAAATTAATTGATTTAAAATATGTTTTTTTTTCGCTACACAGTTCCAACCATGTTTCAAATATATATATATGTATATATATGTGTGTGTGGGGGGGGGACATATATGTACGCGCGTGTGTGTGTGTACACGTGGTTCAATTTCTCAGACTAACCAAAAAGTGATTTTACAACAAAAATCTCATATATGGTCATTTGGTTAGAATTCAGGAGTTTAAGCTGAGAACTTTTCTCATATATATATATATATATGTGTGTGTGTGTGTGTGGAAAGACAAAGAGGAGGGGCAATGTCCATACGTTTGTGCTTATGTGTATTTAGTCATGTTGATTTAATCAAAGGACGTTTGTGTCTGGACAGATTCTCACCTTTATTGTCTGTCCGCTTTTTTTTTCCTTTTCTTTTCTTCGTCTTTCTTCGTCCTTTATCTTATCTCTCCTTTCATTAGGATACATCTGCGCGGTGGAATATTCCACTGGCTTCTATGAAACACTGGGAGCAGCCGACAAATAAATTTGAAGCCTTTGCCGGGCATTTCCTACGGGGACCTTATCGACAACTGCTTCGCACCACATTTACATATGATAGTTTGCTTTTCAGAAAATGTTACTTGTGTAAACGCAAGCAAGACTACCTGCTGTTGCAAGGAACAAAGAACTCAGAAATTTGGAAGGAAGCCAAAGTCAACCGAAAATTTAGATTTACCGAAGCCTTGTCCCTGTTAATATGCCGGTTGTTTCTTCTTTTTAGTGAATGTAAATAAAGCTCTCTCTGCACCTTATAATGTGTAATCTGTGGAGACAGAATAATATAATATTCACATTATTATTCTATATTTAAATAACAACAATCCCTTCTAGTTCAGATAAATAACTGCCTCCCGCATTCAGAGTGTTATAGGTTCGAATGCTACCAAAGGCAGTTTGTATTGAATTTAGAATATTGATTTTTTTATTTTATTCTCATTACTACCAACGTTATATTTTAGTTATTATTGTCTTGCTTTAATATTGTAATTGACGTCTACAGCCTTGTGTATTCGAACGTCTTAATGAAGAAAATGGACTCCCTACTCGGTAGGGATGGAATATAAATGAAACAAAGTTTAATGTAGATGTGCATGAAAATACTCAGCCACAAGAGTCCATGTAATAAAGCAAGACTTACTCTTATGAAGAAATGCACAGCTTTCAAAACCTGTCTATGTTAACCGGAAACGTATCGTAATTTCTAAAGAAATATTATTTTTAACCAGACATTATTTCCTTTTACTGTAAACATTACTATTTTGTGTGTACAAGTAGACATTTCTTTTTTTCTAATCCGACAGTATTAGATATTACAATAAACGTTATATTTAGTGTGTACAATTATTTAAGTAGATATTTCTTTTTTTAATCCGACATTATTTTTTATTAAAATAAACTTTATATTTAATGGGCATAAGTGTTTAAGTAGAGATTTCTTCTTCATCCGACCTTATTTGTTATTAAAATAAACTTTGTATTTAATGACTAAGTGTTTATGTAGACGTTTCTTTTTGTTAATCCTACATTATTTGGTATTAAAATAAATTTTATAATTAATGGGTACAAAATTTAAGTAGACATTTCTTTTTTAATCCGACATTATTTGTTATATGATTATTTACCTACTGCCCCACGCAGCAAGATGTGGCACAAGGCCGAATTTTAAAGTGGGGTAACCGAGCCCGTAGGCTCGGACAAAAATTCCCTATAGACCACGTAAAAACGGAGTCAGTTTCCCGAGACGAGACTCTGCCCTTTGACATGAGCTAATGCCAAAACTTGCCCAGTCCCCAAATTACCAACGTCGCTCTAGTGTTGATATTCCACCGAACGTCCCTGTTTTGTGCAATGAGAGAAGTGCTGCCGTTGGGCTGGAACCCCAGGGATTAGGCACTCTTCAGTTATTTGTGTTTTGTGCGAAGACAAACACACTTGAGCGATAAAATGTTTGTCTGCTCGAAGGCAGATACTACACTTTGATCGTCAGTTGAAAAGTGTAACGGTCGTACAAATTGAATAATCGTGTAGATAAGTGATTGCACTTAGATAATACACTCTCAACCTCGGAAGAAAAGCGTAAAGATTGTATATATATATATAAAACAAGCAGAATAACATCTGATCTTAATATGACTTAAAATAAACACTGAAGAAAATAAACAGATCGACATTTTTCTCCAATTCTTGTAAATGCAATAAACTGCTTGACACTGAAGTTTTGGTGTAATCTTGTTCAGATTGGTGTTGCAGACACAGATAAAAAAAGCTAGTATTTCAAAATGGCAGCCATTGTTTTCTTTTTTTCTCCTTTTTATGTCGCGTAAACAATAAAAGCAAATATCTAATGCTGAATTAAAGTTATAGAAAAAACAATAAAAAATAGAAAAAACAAATCAAGTAAAACGAGAACCAATCAAATATCTCGACTGATTAGCAATGTACAGAGCTTTAAGACATGAGAAAAATAAACAATTTTTTAATAGCGTTTTCTTTTCTTTAAAGAAAAAAAAAACCCAATCAATTTAAACCATTTGTTTATCGTGAAGCAACTCCTGTCTGCTCACGATGTAACCAACGATTTGTGTTGGTTTTTATTTAGCAGTATCTATTACCTCTGTGACGAATAGCTACAAGCTGCACGACCTTTTGCATGATGTTGGATGAAAGAAGTCACGAGAGTCACACGCGTGTCAGGAAAGTGCCGAATTCCTTTTCGAAGAAACTGAACCAGCAATAGACGCATGCGTCGAGCGTATGCTTTTCTTTCTCTCGTTCATTTTTGCATTTTCTTTGTAATTTTTTCTCGGGTAAATCTGACTTTTTCTTTCTCTATTTTAAATCTTGCACTATTGTTTTTTTTTTCGTAATAATCGTTCTCCGATGGTTCATTTTTTTTTCTCTATTCATCGAATTTTTTTTCTTTCTTTCTATGACTTCCTCTGATTCTTTTCTCCATTTTCGGATTTCTTTCTTACTTCCTCACTTTTTTTCTTCTTTATTCTTCATCATTCTTTGTTTGTTTATTTGTTTCTTACTTTCCTTCTTTTTTTTTACTACCTTCTTTCTTTCTTTTCTCCATTTTCTGATTTTTTTCTTACTTCCTCACACTTCCTTTCCTTATTCTTCATCATTGTTTGTTTGTTTCTTTGTTTGTTTGTTTCTTTCTCGCAGTTGCGGAATGTCCTTCGATTTCTTTCTTTCTTTCTTTTCTTCGACTTCCTTTATTTCTTTTCTCCATTTTCGGATTTTTTTCTCACTTCCTCACATATCTTTATTCTTTATCATTGTTTGTTTCTTTCTTTCTTTCTCTCAGTTGCGGTATCTCCTTCGATATCTTTCTTTTTTCCTTTTTTTCTTTCGGTTGCTTGATTTCTTTCTTTCTTTCTTTTCTTCGACTTCCTTTATTTCTTTTCTCCATTTTCGGACTTCTGTCTTACTTTCTCAAATTTCTTTTCTTTATTCTTCATCATTCTTTGTTTTTGTTTGCTTATTTGTTTTTTGTTTGCTTGTTTCTTTCTTTCCTTCTTTTTTAATACCTTTCTTTCTTCTTCACATTTCTTTATTCGTCTTTGTTTCTTTTTGTTTGTTTGCTGCTTTCTTTCTTTCTTTCTTTCTTTCTTTCTTTCTTTCTTTCTCATTTGTCTCTGTTTCTTTTCTGTTTCTTTCTGTCTTTGACAGCCTTTAATACTGTTAGAGACCATGGTCGGTTTGATGGAGCTCGTCAAAATGGGACACTTTGTTTTCGAAGTGGCGGCTGCTTTAGGTTTTCCTCATATAACAAAAGCAAGAACATGTGAATTCTTAACAAAACTTTGGTCGTCCACATCTGATACAAGAATGGAATAGCGACCGACTGATAAGAATGGTAAACACCCAAGGGAAAGAAAAAATCCATCAAATCACGTGTCGGATGCTAATAGGAAGAAGGTAAGTCAGGAGTACTGAAGCAACTAGCATCTGCTGCATTTGAAATTTAACATAATAATAATAATGATTATATATATATATATATATATATATATATATATATATATATATACTAATAAATATACATTTTTTTCCTCACGGTTTGGTCCAACTTTGAGTATCATGTACGAGGAAATTATTTGGAGCGGACTGAAAGATGATCGTTGCAAAATTTAAATATTAATATTTCTAACTAACTGTAAAATTCATTTATTGGGAAAATCAATCATACTATCTGTCTATCTATCAATCTTTCTAAAAATGAATTAAATAATAAAAGAAATGTATTAAATAATAAAAGATAGATTAATTTTCTCCCCGTAAATAAATGGACTGCTCCTCTATCTAAACAGTAGGCTATATTTATTAATATGTAAATTTTACAACGGTCATTTTTCAATCCGCTCTGTTATTCTACATCCAGACCTGTTTTATGACTACCAGCAATAACTGTGCGCTTATATATATATATATATATATATATATATATATATATATATATATATACAGTGTAACCCTGATATAAGAGAAACCCGGATATAAGACCGAGCAGACGCAGGGAGTTGCTCTCAGGAAGTTGACTATCAGACATTATAATGGGGGGCAGGGAAGGATCTCTATGGTGGTTAATGGAGAGTAATTTAGTCTTAGTGGCGTTAAAGTTGACCAGCCAATTCTTGCCCCAGTTAACAACCGATTAGAGGTCCATTTCGAGACGCACGGCCAGATTAGTTTTGTCGCCGATACTAGATTTGTTTTGGAGGCAGGAGTAAATTGTGGTGTCGTCAGCATAGATGCTAACTTGGGAATCTATAGCGTCGGGAAGGTCATTGATGAAAATAAGGAAAAGAGTGGGGCCAAGGATGGAGCCTTGGGGCACACCTGCGTTCGTGGGATAGGAACTGGAGGAGAATCCGTTGAGAACGACCTTCAATTCACGGTTTGACAGAAATGATTGTATCAAATCAAACAGTTGACCAGTGACACCATACCCCTGGAGCTTACGAAGAAGGCCAGTGTGCCAAACTCTATCGAATGCTTTGGAGATGTCGAGGGCCACTGCACGAGCCTCTCCGTTATTTTGAAGGGCTTGGTAGACGGTTTCAGTGATGGTCGTAAGCACATCAGCTGTGGATCGGGCGTAGCGGAAACCATATTGCTTGTCTGAGAGCAGATTATGAGATGTAAGGTGATTAATTACTTCGGCATTGATTAGGGCTTCGAAGACTTTGCCGAAGAGGGGTAGGAGACTAATAGGACGGTAATTAGAGGGGTCAGAGGGGTCTCCAGAGTTCTTAAAAACAGGAACAATGGATGAGGACTTCCAGCAGTCAGGAAAACATGATTCCTTGAGGCAGTAATTATATAGTTTAGAGAGGGCGGGCGCTAGCTTAGGCGCGCATTTCTTCAGGACAATGGCTGGTATGCCATCTCCACCACTAGCCTTGTGGGGTCTAAGTTGGAGATAATGCCCAGTACCACGGACGGGGTTATGTGTAAGCCGCTCAGTAAGGCCTCCGTTCTAGGAGGGAAGTCTGGAATGGGTACACCGGTGGTGTTGAGCGTTGAATTAAATGAGAATTTCCGAGCAAAGCATTCAGCCTTGTCGGTAGAAGAGGTCAAGACCTCGAACTGGTTGAATAAAGGAGGTATGGAGGGTTTTCTATTGTTCAGGACACTCTTGCAGACCCGCCAATAATCTTTGGAGCCAAATTTGCGAGATGCAATACGCTCCTTCATCCGAGCAGCAAATATTGACTTAGCTTCGTTGAGGACACGCTTACACTCGTTACGGGTAGAGGCAAAGAGACGTCTATTACAGTCCGACATGTCGCTACGAAATCGATGAAAGAAGTGATTCCTATGGGCAATGGCAGCTGAGCAAGCAGCGGAGAACCAAGGGAGGAGTGCGACTTGACCTTAAATTTCCTTGAGGGGATGAAAGCGTCGATTCCAGCTTTAACCCAGGATGAGACCTCAGAAGCACATTCTTGGACAGGGAGTGTAAAGACAACATCCCAGGGGACATCGCGGAGGAAGTCACGGAACGAGTCCCAATCCGCTCGCTGATAGTAGAACGAGTTCTTGTGATGGGAGGTTCTTTGCAGGGTGTGGAGTTGAAGGAAATGTTGACAGATAACACAGCGTGATCAGGTTGCCAAGCGGGCAGAGCTGTGTGGCGCTACAAGATTCGGGGATGGAGGTAAAACACAGATCGAGAAGAGAGGCCTTACCTGCCAGGTCGACGGCAAAACGCGTGGGGAAGTCGACTATTTGCGTGAGGGATTGAGAAATTGAGAAGTTAAATGTTTGAATGCCAGCCCGGTCAGTAGTAGCATTCTCGAGCCACTTGGTGTGATGGGCGTTAAAGTCACCAAACACGAATATATGAGCAAACGGGTGGAGAGAGAGGGCCTTGTCTATGCTGTCAGATATGCTATTAAGTATCCCACAGTCTTGAGAGGATGGGGAGCGATAGAGGAAGAAGAGATATCTTACGGCATTGAGGAGAGATAGTCGGAGACACATGTACGAAAGGTCTGGCGATTCGAGAGACAACTCTCTGGCCAGGGGGAGATGGTCTTTGACATAGACACCAAGGCCGTGCATGTGGGTTAGAGAGTCTTTCCTGAGGAGAGGAAGGTAGCCGGGGACCGAGAGATCAGAGGAGGGGATAGACGAGTCAAGGTTTGTCTCACACAGAGCCAGTATATCCGGGCAGTTTGCAGTGAGGAAAGATTCCATACTGCAGAAGTTTGTTCTAATGCCACGGATGTTAGCGAACGAAATGTTGAGGGGTTTCGGTGATTTTTGCGGGGCTGGTTTAGGTTTACTTTTTTCGTTCATTTGAGTCTTCATGTTGAGTAATTGTTGGAAGATGAGAAGGCCTGAAATAAGAGAAGCAGATGGTTATCAACCGCAACGTGAGCAGAGAGGAGTTGGCACAGCCTGCATCATAATGTGGCCTCAGGGTTGCCCACCGGAGGTGACTGCAGGGACACCGTTCCATGCGCGTCATGGCACAACAAACACCCCGGTATTATACATACATAAAGACTGCTGACCTGAGATGGAACAAATACATTGAGTCAATTGCTTCTTCCACCGCGAGGAAAGTTGGCTCTCTGTGCCGCGCCAGGAAATTTTTCTCCCCTGAATCTATACCTCAAATATACAAATCAACCATTCGCCCTTGCATGGAGTATTGCTGCCATATATGGGCTGGGGCACCTTCTGCTTACCTCGGAGTTCTTGACAAGATCCAGAGACGGATATGTAATCTAATTGGCCCTGATCTGGCGTCTCGTCTGCAGTCACTCTCTCACAGACGCGCGTCGCCTCTCTCTGTCTTTTCTACAAATACCCATGGTAACTGCTCTGACGAGCTGCTTTCACTGGTTCCCAGACTCCATGAATTCAAGCGCCCTACGAGGCTGGCATCCCGCTCCCACCCTTACACCGTAGAAACTCTCAAATGTAGCCGTCTCTTCTACTCCAATAGCTTCATACCTCGCACCTCTCGCCAGTGGAACACCCTCCCCAATTACTGTTTCCTGAAAGCTATAATCTCCAACTATTCAAATGTAATGTCAATCGAAATCTCCAGTTACCTTGATCTACCTACTATCCTTCTCCTCATCCTTTCTTCTATCACTCCTATCTGCTCTCGCTCCAAATCTTCCGCACCCCCCTGCATCCTAGTGGCTTCACGCCTTGCTTGGGGCGTAATGCTTAAAAAAAAAAAAAAAAAAAAAAAAAAAAAATATATATATATATATATTCAAAAATTATAACATAAACGTGTTATAAAATCACTACAAAAATAGGCATTTTGTTTCAACACTTCTGTATTGAGCACTCTTTTAAGAATAGTGTTTTTGGTTATTTGAATTTTATTCCGTCCACACCAATCCTATACTTGGATATATATATATATATATATATATATATATATATATATGTGTGTGTGTGTGTGTGTGTGTGTTTGTGTGCGTATATATATATATATATATCTCACCGATCATCGCCCAAAATATTATTAGCACAATGTGCCATACGAAACAACAAAGAAAGAAAAATAGAGACCATGCGTGCTTTTGCTTCCCGCTGAGCTGAATTCTTTATTTTCCATTTTCATATTCTGGTGTTTTGTTTCTGAGTTGTATTGAAAACACCACATCCCGTCTCCAGTAAGAACCCTGGCAAATATATGTGAATTATTCAACAGTTCAGATGAAACATGTAATCAACGTTTCTTTCGAGTGACTTGCGCTTCTTTGAACCAATTCTGTCTTTCAAAAACATTCGATCTTTTTATACCATGTTTTTATACCATCTTTTATCAATATTCACACAAACTTGATGTTAATCCGCTGAGCTAGATTAATTTCATTCATTTCCCGTCAAAAGTATAACATGAACACATAAAACTACTTCTACTGATCGGCAATGTATTACCTACATATATTTAAATGTAAAAGAACGAAGAATAAGATTTCAGCGGTCAAAAAAAATCAATTTAAAACAGGGCTAAATACAAAAGTAGGGCAATAAATATTTATTCATTATGCACTATTATATTAGAACATGCACATACCCACTACAAATCTGTACATCTTGTTTCAACGTTAAAATTTTTTTCTAACGTTTTATCAGGTGGGAAGTCACGATGCTACTAAAATATTTCATTCCGAAATGCAGTTAACGAAGCACATGTTCCACTTCCGTCATTGGAAAGTTTCCCATAAAAAGTAAAAAAGAAACGTTAGAAAAAATTTTAATATCTTTCTACACATGTAAATTCTTTTTTACTTTTCATGGAAAACTTTCCAATGACGGAATAAATAGAATAAAATATTTTGGTAGTGTTGAGGGGTCCACCCCTTTTTATACAAATGGACTCACCCAGTGTATACTTATACTACTGCCAGTGAAGACTCGAGAGAGCAAGACCGAAGAGTCGAGTCCAGAGTGACAGAGTAAAAGGTTGTAGGTAACCGGAAGAGTGAGGGTGAGGTAACAGCGTTGTAGGAGTCACAGTGAGCGAGCACGTAGACTCAGTAAGAAGTCATACAGCGATACTTCAATAACAAAGACTGTGTAGATATTTTGCTACTAACCCGTATTCCTGGAACTACTAACCTGCTTTACCAGTTTGTACTATTACGTTAATACATTATATTCATATATTTATTCCTGGCGTTTGTTATTTATTGGTACCGGATTTCAACCCGGAATCCACAACAGGTAGCATTATGATTTCCTACCTGATGAAAAGTTAGAAAATTTTTTTAACGTTGAAACAAGATGTACAGTTTTGTAGTGGGTATATGCATGTTCTAATGTAACACTGCGTATATATATATATATATATATATATATATATATATATATATATATATATAATGTTTGTCGACACATTAAATGAGTATGACCATGACTGACATACATTGAAGCCAGCAAGCAATTTGAAAAAATTCTTCCACAAATGGTAGATGTAGTCCGTTGATCATTGGGTAGTTTGTCTCCTGGGTTCGATGGTTAAGAACTTTCAAGTGTCTGGTCAGTCCAAATTGACTGGAACATGACTTGCCACTGGTTGCGTCCGTAAGATCTTTGTTAACATGACACGATACATATGTACATTGCTTATATCCGCTGTAGAGTGAGCGGACAGGTCCTCCTACGAAGCTCTCGAGTTGGAATGCTGAATGTAACATCAATCAGGTAAGTGACAAACTTTTACTTATATTAATTATCTCTCTCTATATATGTGTGTGTATATGTGTGATAGAATATATCTGTAGAGGAGACAAAATGAATAAAAAGAGACAAGAGGAAAAATTATTCTTAACCAACACGTTTCGCCCTCTGGGGGATTTTATTAAGATAATCAAGCAACATTGATAAAGTCCCTCAGAGGATGAAACACATCGGCTAAGAATAGCTTTTTCTCTTGTCTCTTGTAATTCATATATATATATATATATATATATATATATATATATATATATAGATAGATAGATAAATGACAATAGGAAAACTGTAGTTATTGCTGATCCGTTTCGTCCAATAACTACAGTTTTCCTATTGTCATTTATATTTATAAATATTGTCTTTTCTACAGGTTAACTCTGAAAAATTTTCATATATATATATATATATATATACACACACGCAAGCAATGCGCTAATGCCACTAAGACGCAAGTAGGGTACCGTAAGTGAAAGAGAATTAAAAAAAAAAACTTTAGAATGGATCTGAAGAATCATCCTAAAAAGAAAGCAAGGTATAAACCTCTACTCCTGTTCAAAAGAACGAAAAGGGTGCGACACGGACGACAAACTAAATTATATCTATATATATATATATATATATATATATATATATATATATATATATATATATATATATTTATATAGTATACATGAATGTTTGTATATGTAATATATATATATTAATGTAATTCTCATGCATCGTTATACGTATGCCTCATTGTCAATATTAGTAAATAACATATTTCGATCTTTGAACTGTCCAAATATTTCCATTCCAAATTTTCGTTGATGATGTGTTGGAAACGCCGATTTTCGGCAAAAGATCTGGAAACAAATAAACGAAAATTAATGGCGAGAAATTCGTTGGTCGCCAGTGAAAATTATTCACGATGGAACTTTAAAAATGGCTCTGATTTGGAAAGAAGTATTTAATGTCAATGGAATTGAAAACTTTGGGAGGATTTGCATCTTTTCTTGCAATTGAACGTTTACAAAATCAAAATACAGCTTTTATTTAATCTACCACTCTCCCTCACTATTTGAATAGGTTCATATCTATCTATCTTTGTCATTTCATATCTATCTATCTATCTTTGTCATTTCATATTTATCTATCTATCTATCTTTGTCATTTCATATTTATCTATCTATCTTTGTCATTTCATATTTATCTATCTATCTATCTTTGTCATTTCATATTTATCTATCTATCTTTGTCATTTCATATTTATCTATCTTTGTCATTTCATATTTATCTATCTATCTTTGTCATTTCATATTTATCTATCTATCTATCTATCTATCTATCTTTGTCATTTCATATTTATCTATCTATCTATCTATCTATCTTTGTCATTTCATATTTATCTATCTATCTATCTATCTTTGTCATTTCATATCTATCTATCTATCTATCTATCTTTGTCATTTCATATCTATCTATCTATCTATCTATCTTTGTCATTTCATATCTATCTATCTATCTTTGTCATTTCATATCTATCTATCTATCTATCTATCTTTGTCATTTCATATTTATCTATCTATCTATGAATGCATATACTGTTGCATACTCGGTAGTTCCTATCTCTTCTGTGCACAGCCACTGATTGTTAACATCACACAACATAAAACACGGCGTAAGTAATGCGTATTTCTCTAATGATTCATACTAAAGTTGATCTTTGGTCGCTGTCCATTCCATTAAAGCTATTCAAATAACATTTACAGCAAGAATAGATACATAAGTATTGAAGCACCTACATTAACACATACACACAAACATACACGAATATCTAAATAAACAGGCATGTATATATTGCAAATTTACCAGCGGGCATACGAGCAGATATCTAAGTTTACACCCCCATATATATATATATATATATATATATATATATATATATATATATATATATATATATATATATATATATATATAGCACTGCCCAAAATAAGTGAACCCCTAAGATAATATTAAAAAAAGTGTCCCCGTTTTTACAGATATCAAATCTTAATTAAGCTATGTATTTATTAAGGAAAAACATTTTTGAACGAATTCCAACCACCTTCAATTTTTTTTATCAAACTGGAATAAAAATATTAATTAAAAATTAAGTGAATTTTGACATTTATACTCTGTATTTTTGTTGTATGTGGTTGCCAGTGCAAATAATTTTTTGTCCACGTGTTAAAATCAGAATTTTTTTTTTAAGCGTTTCACCCCAAGCAAGGCTGGAAGCCACTAAGACGCAAGGGGTTACAGAAGATTTGGAGCAAGATCAGATAGAAGTGATAGAGGAAAGGATGAGAAGGATAGTGGATAGATCAAGGCAACTGGAGATGTTGATTGATATTACATTTGAATAGTTGGAGATCATAGCTCTCAGGGAAACAGGAATAGGGAAGGGAGTTCCACAGGTGAGAGGTGCGAGATATGAAGCTATTGGAGTAGAAGAGACGGCTACATTTAATAGTTTCGACAGTGAAAGGGTGAGAGCGGGATGCCAGCCTCGTAGGACGCCTGAATTCATGAAGTCTGGGAATCAGCGAATGCAGCTCCTCAGAATGACACAAGATCAAAATAACTTCGTGAAGCTATACAAAATCGCATAGTTGAAGCCTATAATGATGGAGATTCCTATAGAAAGCTAGCAAAACGATTTGGAGTGAACGTCTCCACCGTGAGAAATTATTTACAAATGGAAGGCCTTTGGTATGACGGCATCGCAATCAAGAAGTGGCCGTCCGCGAAAAATAACTGACGATCAAGTAGACATCAGTTTGGTCAAACCCAGGCGAATCCTGCTGTGGCTTCTGCTGTTCTATGTTTCCTGTTCAATGTTGGAATCAATGTATAAACGTTTACAGTGCGATGAAATCTGAATAATGCTGGTCTTCATGGCAGAATGTCTAGAAAAAAGGCACTGCTTACGAAAAAGCACATACAAGCTCGGTTCATCTCTGCCAAAGTTCATATTAATAAGCTAGAAACGTTCTGGCAAATGGTTTTATGGTTGGATGAAACCAAACTAGAGCTTTGTAGGAGGAACGATATAGGGTATCCCTGGCGAGCCCTAATACGACTTTTGAAGAGAAGGATTTAGTGCCAACTGGTAAATATGGCGGCAATAGCATTATGATTTGGGGCTGCTTTGCTGAATCTGGAACAGTTCGCATCGACGGCACAATGAACCCTGCAAAATAACAAGCAATTTTGAAAGAAATTGTCTTGTCCTCGGTTCAAAAGTTGGGTTTAGGTCGGAGCTGGATCTTCCAACGACGATTCTAGGCATCAAATCAAATCCACAAAAGAATAGGTTCGAAAAAATAAATTTAAATTCTTAGAATGGGTTCAAAAGTATGGTTTCGAAAAAAGAAATTTAAATTCTTGGAATAGGTTCGAAAAATTGGATACGAAAAAATAAATTTAAATTCTTGGAATGGGTTCAAAAAAATAAATTTAAATTCTTGGAATAGATTCGAAAGAACGGATTCGAAAAAAGAAATTTAAAATCTTGGAATGGATTCGAAAAAAGAAATTTAAATTCTTGGAATGGGTTCGAAAAAAGAAATTTAAATTCTTGGAATGGGTTCGAAAAAAGAAATTTAAATTCTTATAAATGGGTTCAAAAGTATGGTTTCAAAAAAGAAATTTAAATTCTTGGAATAGGTTCGAAAAAAGAAATTTAAATTCTTAGAATGGGTTCAAAAGTATGGTTTCGAAAAAAGATATTTAAATTCTTGGAATGGGTTGGAAAAAATGGATTCGAAAAAAGAAATTTAAATTCTTGGAATGGGTTCGAAAAAAGAAATTTAAATTCTTGAATGGGTTCGAAAAAAAAAATTAAATTCTTGGAATGGGTTCGAAAAAAGAAATTTAAATTCTTAGAAATGGGTTCAAAAGTATGGTTTCAAAAAAGAAATTTAAATTCTTGGAATAGGTTCGAAAAAATGGATTCGAAAAAAGAAATTTAAATTCTTGGAATGGGTTCGAAAAAAGAAATTTAAATTCTTGGAATGGGTTCGAAAAAAGAAATTTAAATTCTTGGAATGGGTTCGAAAAAAGAAATTTAAATTCTTAGAAATGGGTTCAAAAGTATGGTTTCAAAAAAGAAATTTAAATTCTTGGAATAGGTTCGAAAAAAGAAATTTAAATTCTTAGAATGGGTTCAAAAGTATGGTTTCGAAAAAAGATATTTAAATTCTTGGAATGGGTTGGAATGAATGGATTCGAAAAAAGAAATTTAAATTCTTGGAATGGGTTCGAAAAAAGAAATTTAAATTCTTGGAATGGGTTCGAAAAAAGAAATTTAAATTCTTGGAATGGGTTCGAAAAAAGAAATTTAAATTCTTAGAAATGGGTTCAAAAGTATGGTTTCAAAAAAGAAATTTAAATTCTTGGAATAGGTTCGAAAAAATGGATTCGAAAAAAGAAATTTAAATTCTTGGAATGGGTTCGAAAAAAGAAATTTAAATTCTTGGAATGGGTTCGAAAAAAGAAATTTAAATTCTTAGAATGGGTTCAAAAGTATGGTTTCGAAAAAATAAATTTAAATTCTTGGAATAGGTTCGAAAGAATGGATTCGAAAAAAGAAATTTTAAATCTTGGAATGGGTTTGAAAAAAGAAATTTATATTCTTGGAATGAGCACGAAAAAAAATTAAATTCTTGGAATGGGTTCGAAAAAAGAAATTTAAAGTTTTGGAATAGCCTAGTTAAAGTCCTCATGTAAACCCAATTGAAAATCTGTGGTTCAAATTAAAGAAGTCATTACATGCAAGAAACCCTGGTAATAACGAACAATTGAGGGAGTTCTGGCAAGAAAAATGTTAAAAAAATTGATGATCTCTACTGCCAGAATCTTTTAAAGTATAGGAGACTGGCTGACGTTGTGACCTCATATTAAATGTAAGGGTTCTGTGACGGTTACACACCTGGCCCAGTGTCGGATCCTTTGGTTACGGCGCCAACGGTGACGTCGCTCCTCCTGGTCGCTCCTCCTGGGTCCAAGCGTGCCGCTCCAACCCTTTGGTCAGATGATCACCAGCCTCGCCTTTCCCGACTCGCTTCCAATACCTGGTCACTAAAGCAACTATACCGATCTCCGGTCTGTCTACCCACGCTGTGTTTAGATCTTAGACAGACGGGACCAGCAGGGATCAGGGCCGATACAAGTTGAGTCCGACGGGGTGGCAAAACACAAATAAAATAAAACTCACGACACCAAACAAAATTGCTGATAAAAAGGGTAACAACCTTTATATCTTAAAGTCCGTTACATAAAAACAAAAGTGTTCTCATTTCCCGACCCGCTCTGTGGACTATGGCACCAAGCTTCTATCACACAATAGAAAATGTCAATTACCTACTTTCTAGAATCATGTATGTATGTCGGAGTGTGGTTCAGTTCGACACTGGGGCTAATTTCTATCGATCATTCGCAGTTGATTCTTCTCTCCGACTTGAGTTGTATTTCTTCTTCTTCGTCTGCTTGGGCTGGTAGTTTTCCTGTTTCAACTTGGTGGAAGATTTCTTGTTTCAACTTAGCCGCAACTCTCTGTCGTCTGAGGTGGTCTCTTCTCACTGCCGTCCGGAGCTGAACTTTAACTTCTCATCGACTTTCGGCTTGTCTGCAGCTCCAATTCTTCTCAGGCTTCCAGGCAATCTTCTTCTTCATCTACTTGGGCTGGAAGTTCTTCTTGTCTGAGGGTTCTTTTCTCGCTGCCGTCCGGGGATGAACTGATTTTTTATCGATTGGGGCCCTGCTTTTATTGACGCCGCAACAAACTGGGGTGGGTCTGTCGGCGTCAGGGTTTTCTCGATAATTCCAAAACTGCATTAATTCTGTCTTCTCCATTATCGCTATTGTTTTCGCCCCTACTTCCTCGCAGTACCTTTGGTGGGGCGGCGCACATCCATCTCTCTTAGTCTCTCGTATGTCAGGTGACCGCTTTTCAACCAATCGTTCCTGATCGAGCATTTCTTTCCCTTTTCTTCCGCAAGTCACGTGATCGTATTCGACCAATTGTTATTGGTCGAACATTTCTTCCCTTTTTCTTCCGCAGGTCACGTGATCGTATTCGACCAATTGTTATTGATCGAACATCCTCTCCCCTCTGTTTGCGGGCGTGGTTACATCGTTCTTGTTTAAAAAAAACAAAATCCAATTTTTTTCCTTTTTGCACGTACGCAAAATGACAATCTTTGGCTTTCTCTCACCTGGACTTTGTCAAACAGCCCGCTGCTAATTAGTCTTGACTTTAGAAAGGATCTTTTCCGCCTTCTTGGCGCCCTCTGTGAGCCAAAAGCAATTGTCCCTCTTTTTACCTCTTTGTTTTTCCTGATAGTCGAAAATCTTAATTATCTACATTGAAATGTCTCTACTTTATTAACGTGGGTGTCCAATTCTTAACAGGTCAAGATCTGTATATCGTTCCACCGGTAACTCCCCTCAACCCAAAAAACTTTTCTCTGATTAAAAATTTCATTTCTATTGTTCTAAACCAAATTGATAAGGAGTCTCTCCACGCAAAAAAGTCGGTCAGATGCTTTGACGATATCTGGTCTACATCAGCGGCCCGTTTTGATATCATGTCTTTTTCCCTTTCTTTCTTCTTATTATTTATAATTCTATTCTTCCAATTG